AAAATCTGCTGTGTTTTTCACACGGTATTTAAGTCTTAGCTTTCGGAGTCTTTTTGTCAGTCCGGAAACCTCCGCCATATTGAATATCTAATATAACAATTACCACGTATTACTAAATATAACAGAGACCACGCATCTGTTAAGTTTATCTTAGAGCTGTTTTCCTTAAAACAGTTTTATCGTGGCCTATCTTGGCATACATTGGTTGTTAAAAACATACCTCGATTGACCATTTATTTGAAAGGTTAAAAAATCTCGCACAAGGCTGAAATACTCTTTAACTCTTTTTTTTTATTTTTAAATGAGAAATGCAAATTCGTGATCTTTAAATGATAATCATTTAAATGATAATCAAATACCCTTAGCTTTTTGATGCATTTGTCGACTGAGTTGCCCATAGGGAAATAACTCGAGAGATGGGTAGAAGACGAATCTTACAAGAGCATTCGAATACGAATTTTATGATACTTGGCTCGCATGAAGAGTTTTCATTTAACTGCTGGGAAGCTGCTTATTGTTTTGTTTCATTGTGTCGAGTTTTTTCCTTTCCGGGCTCTCACCTCTGCGGATGGACCATAATCCGCAAAGATCAAAAATCGCAAAGTTGTCATGCAATGACACGTAACACTTTCTAGGGGAGTACAAGATCGAACACACTTTCTTAACTGCAGTTACCGCTGGATTTTGATTCCTTTGCAGCCTTTCCTTCTCTTTCGTTATGTGGTGTCTTTTTGTAAACTGTTGGCGCTGTCGGTTGCGTGCCATCCACCACAATCTGATTGTCAAAAGAAATTGCTGTTTTTTCTCACGGTGTGAATGGAACGAAAGTATGTTCATCAATTTTCCTTTCATTTTTAATCCTAGTGTGTCGTAATAAATCGGCTTTTTTGAGGATGAATTTCACTTCTATGTGAACACTTGAAATCGAGTCTAGATTACTTGAGCTTTCTTAGGAAGTTAGTCTGAAAATCTCTTTTCCTTAAACAATAACGCCTTGTTAAATATGGTGATTAGAGTTATTAGTTACGCGTCCCCTTAAACAGTCGTAAAAAGATTCGGAATATTTTAAACCACTTAAAACCTCTGATATTTCCCTTCCTAATGGAAAGCAAAAATAATGTACAATTATCGTCTTCAAATTACAAATACGTCAGCTGCTAATCAAACATAACCTTAATGTTCCGCCAGTTTTTGTACTCTTGTAGATCAATCAGACCACGTAGTCTCACCACCATCCTTTTTACAACAAGTAAATAAGCTTGTCACCTCTTTAAATACGGACGGTTTAAGAGTGTTTAAACTGGTTTTCAGTGGTTTCCGGTAAATCTCCAAGAAGTTTAAGGATAAAATTCGGGGACAGTTTAAAACTCAAAATGCCTGATCCCTGGAGTTCAAAGGAAGACAATTTCTTCATCTCTCAAGCTATCCTAAGCATCGTGTTCGCCACGTCAGCTCTCGTTTCAAATGTTTTCTTAATGATTACTGTATGTCGAAATACAAACTTGAATCAGAGGATTTGGCAAATGCATGCAACTTACTTCGTGGTAAACCTGAGCATCTGCGACGTTCTGGCCGGTCTTATTCCCGGATACGGTGGCCTCTCTTACGATATCAATATTTTGAGAGGCCAGACGCGAGAAAGCCTCGTTGGCCTCAAAAGTTTAATAACTTTTGCTGCTGTCATGACAAATATCGTCTCATCTGGCACCATAGCTTTAATGTCTTATGATCGTTGGTTAGCAGTTTCGTCTCCTCTGCATTACAAAGCTCGGGTGACCAAAGCGAGGATAAAAGCAGCCCTAGCTTTTATCTGGATTTATTCCTTGATATTCTCTAGTCTTCCATCGATGGGAGTGGCAATATCTCTGTTCACTCTCCTTTACTGCCACCTTCACGTCTCGGTTCCTCTAATAATCTTGCCGGTGTTATATTGGAAAACATTGCGAGCGCTTCGCCAGCACAACAATCGAGTGCATGATGGAGCAGATGATAATGGAAGGCAGAAAATGGACACGGCCCACAGGAATAGAGAGCGTAAAATGGTGTCGGCATTTCTCTTGATTCTTGCTTTCTTTTACCTATCTTTCGGCCCACAGTTTATCGCTCAAAATGTTCTCCTTTTTTACCCTGATGCAATAAATCAAGAAAGTTTTCGTTTTTTCTTGTATGCGTCTAACAAGTTTCTTTTAGTTAATTGTTGTTTAAACCCCTTCATCTACGCGTGGAGAATTCCGACCTACAGGAGAGCTTTCAGAGAGATTTTTAGAGGCTGCGTTCGGCTTCCGAGAAACAGTGTCCTTACAGTAATGCAAAACGACGTCAACAATTGAAGGGACCATACATACAACTGTGATGGTCGAAGAGTTACCTCTACAAGGAAGACGTGTGTAGTTCAGCAGTAGATATCGATTTACCAGAGGAATTACCCGAAAGTAACATGAATTAGAAGCACTCGGGGAAAAGTAAGTAAATTACGAACCGACGGTGACTGAATCATACACTCTGTTTTTGAGTTCTTCCTGGCGGCCTCAGTGCGTTTACGGAAGGTGCGGTGTATTGTTTTTCGCACTAAAATAGCTCTCGACTTACGGATAGAAGAAACGATATGACCGACCTTAGAATCCCAGTCGCTCTAACTACGTACGTTTTGAGTTTATCAAAGTAATTTAAAAATTTTATTTGCAAAAGTGAACAAGGAGGTACCCAAGTTAATCTTTAATACGTGGCCGAGTAAATAACGCACTTGGGACTGGCACTTTCGTATGGATATACCCCTTGTTTTAAACTTAGGGCCAAACCAGAAAGGCACACAGTAGATTCTCTGATTACGACCTTTGTATGGCCCTTTTTTGGCGAAGGAACCGTTCTTGGCCTTGATACGAGAAAACAAAACAAATTTATGTAGATTGAAGAGTAAACACACTTAAAAAAGGGTGATAACATAACAAAAAAATTTGATTTAACTCATTTATTCCTGCAACAATTACAACATTTTCGGGTGCTAGTTGTTTCTTAGAAGAATGGCAAAGGATATTCGGAGTTTTAGTTAGCCAATCAGACCACGCCTTTAACGCTATCCACTGTTTTAGTATATACTAAAATCATCTCATTATTAAAAGATCAAAACTTTCATTGATGCACATTTTCTGAGGACGAGTAGAATACCTTGAACATTTGATGGTTTGTTCTACTTCTAAAGCGAAGCAACAACCTCGTGGCTACCACTTGATAAACTTTGCTATCGTTGCAGAGCTCTTAAAATTCATCGTAACCTACAAGCTGCCTGAAAAATTTTCCTTCAAACCTTTTGATTATTTCTATGATCAGAAAATATACATCATCAGAAGGGCTAACGCTAGAAGCGTCAGCTTTTCAAGTCTTTACGGTGGCCAATTTACTTTATCAACTAAGTTGTTAACATCAAATTACCCTGTTATGGCTCCCCCACCGAGGCAACACCAAAGTTTCTTTAGAAACTTACCCCCCTTTATTCGTTTCCCTGACTATGTCTGTTGATTCCCCCGAGTGGCAAGAGGCACTGTGTGAATAAAGTGCTTTGCCAAAGATCACAACGCACTGACCTAGCCGCGTATTGACCACATGGTGAACGTGTATTTTGGAAGATGTCTATACTTTTCCTAATGTATGGTTTGATCAGATCCCCGAACCATCCCGATGACCATCCGGCATTGTTGAATTGTTCCTACTCTATTTGCGTCCCGAAGGAAAAACTTGTGTCATTGTGTTTTACGAACTTTGACTTGGAACCTGATGCAGGTGAGCGTCAACCTTTTCATGTCACTGAGTTTGACGAAATAGCAGAAGTTCAGAAAAGTTTTCGCCTCCATCATAACCGCAATCAGCGAAGACTATGATCTTGAAACTGTAAGCTGTATTGGCAGGAAAAGAGCTCTGACAGCAAGACATGTATAAGTAAGTGTGATATATTGTAGTTAAGAACCAGTTACCATTAATCGCGTCGGGGGAGGGGTAGGGGGGATCACACGGTTATAAGGGAGAACCTAGAGGGTGTCAGTCATCGTAAACAGAGTAGAAAGGGTGATGAATAGAAAATGAATGCCAATGAACCATTAATGAGGGATGGGGGTCATAATAAAAGGTCCTCAATGTGAAGTTAACTCCATTCCTGTGTTCAAGAAAGACCAACTTATTATTCCGAACTTCAAAACACGTGTTGTTCCCAAGAGCAGGTCCCGTGAACCCCACTACACAAATTATCGCCCTAACACGTAGCTTATGTAAACAATACAACTGTAAAATAACATAACGAGGCTAGGTGACTAGGAGGAGCTATAAACATTTTACGCTCTATGCTGAGGCACAAAAATTGCCTTTTGTTTAGATAATTTTTCGAATAGCAAGTACATTTTTCGCAAAATTAAAAGTGACGCAGAAAAAAAAATGGTTGAACGACTCATCCACCTGCAAACCCTGACGACTATTTTGGCAGTAGTGATATGTAAAGAGGATAAACGTATCTGGTATATAACACATTGAAGTGATTTCCTCATTTTACCAAATATCCGCAGTGAGATGGCAAAACTATCAATAGGTCTATTTTCAGTGAAGTGTCAAATAAATTCGGTTTTGTCCCTTTAGATGAGAACGAATGCGCCACAAGAAATAAGAACTGCGAACAGTTGTGCCGCGACACTGATCAAAGTTATTATTGCGAATGTCAC